ATATTGAAACCAAAGGCCCCAAAGTAGACACTCAAGGCAGCAACAATCAGTACACCTGTGATCACTGAAACTAAATGGAGAACAAAATAACTTTCTCATTTTAGAACCTATGAGCTGTGTCTGTCTGGATGTCTGCAAAAGAACTAAAAAATTAGATTTTGGGACTTCAGAGCGATGGATGATGGATAATCATGATGTGTAGAAGAAGTCATAATATCAGTCGTCCTCCTCCTACAGTGACACGGCAAACAGTGCGCTACCTTTTAAGTATTACAAAGTGACAGGGAAGGGCTTCAGGTGCTGCAAGGTGGCTCGTTGGTCAGCACCGTTGCCTCATAGCTTGAAGGTCGCTGGTTTGCGTCCCGGTGAGGACACCTGGGATCTTCCTGTGTGGAGTCTCCATGTTCTCCCCGTGCAGCGTGGGTTCTCATGTGAGTGTGCTTGGTTGTCTGTCTCTAAGTGTAGCCCTGTGATAGACTGGTTACCTGTCCAGGTGAACCTGCCTTCACCCTGAGTCAGCTGGGATAGACTCCAGCCCCCCTAGTGAGGATTAAGGTGTAGAGATGATGGATGCTTTTCTTAGTCGGTTGCTGAGCCTGTAGCTGCCTTTGAATATAAGTCATTTACTTCCGACAGCCTTGCTATCCGACATGAAAGAAGGTTTTACGTTTCGTGTCGGATTATCGAGTCACGACTGTATTTTGTGCTTTGAAAGCTTCAACAAGCTGGACTGAGGTTTTCACATTGTTAACAGAATAGAGAGTTGGATGAAAAGGTTGATACCACTTCATACCTGCCCCTTAAACGTGAGACTACAGGAGACATCAGCAGCCTGGTGCCGCTTAAGGTAATAAATAAATAGATAAATCCATCTAGCAAACCAGAAAAAAAAATAAAAATGCAGGTTGATATGCTGGACTATGCTGGCACATATCTGCCTGCGACATCACAGATATCTTTATAATAAGAACATGTGAACCATTTCTTCAGAGTCGTGAACTCTGAGCAAACACGTTGGGTTTCCACTTTACAGAAGCAAAGCTGGTCTTCAGAGGAGGCAAGTCAAAGTGACAAGCCAAAGGACTGTGAATGACAAGATGTGAAGCCTGGTTTCTTGACTGACTGACCTTAATATGCCTCATGGCATCACTGCAGCGGAAAACACAGGAATACCAGGAAGTCACAAGACAAGAGCTGCAAATTCAATCAGCTGAACAACAGGAAGCATAGCAGGCCTGTTCCTCTGGACTTAGGAAGACGTGGTACCATCGGACTTTGTTTCACTGAGGTGCAACCGAACACAAAGTTTGATGACAGCATTTTCACTTTCAGTCTTCCAGGAAGAGGCGAAGACGATGATCATCGGGTATCAAATGACTGCTGAAAGGAAGAAGGAGGATCAGTTTTCCTTTCTTCAAATATCACAAAAACCAGAGCAACCTGTCAGCAGAAAAACAAAGACTAAGAAAGCAGTGTTTTCAGTTTAAATGTACACTGACTGTGACTCCATCGTACCAGAGAAGCCTTTCAGCAGCTTGCATAGATTTAACAAATCAAACTACACCGACAAACTCAAAACTACTTCAGAGCATTCTCCATGCGTTAAGTGTTCGGTTTTATTAATCAAGCTGTGGCTGCTGTTCCCATTAATGACGTATAAGATGTTAAAACCTGACGATTTCTGTAAATGTCAGGGGGAATGACCTCCGTCTAACTGAACAGAGTGAATGTACAGAAGTGGTGCAGCTGCAGTTGAACGTGCTAAAAGCATTTATAGATTTTTTCTGCAACATCTTTACTCCCCCTGACAAATAATAATAATAAAGAAAACCACAGAGAAGAAACCAAGAACAGGCTCATCCTCTGACTTTACAGCGGCCACATTGATCTCTGCCTCTTCATTTCAGAGTTTGATGGGACTCAAAACAAACTGCAGCAGCAGGTGGAAGGATGTAAGCTGCTGCTGAAACAATTCAGAACTTTTGTTATTTTTTATTGTCATAATTTAAGGAGAAGTTTTGCAGATCCTTGGTGAGGATCCCTGAGGAGGAGTGACGAGGCCTGAATGAAGCGTAAGAACAAGTCAAAGATGAGATGAACTTACATGTAAATAGACAGTCGATAAATAGAACAATGAGCTGGTACTAATGAGTCAGATTCACTGAGTGAGGACTTTGTACTTAAAGCCTCCTTGAGGGAACGTTCAGAGACGGACAACGCCTCCCTAGAACACAATATTGTGATAGAGACTGCAGAGATTGTTGCGTTGACATTTTCAGATTGAAATGTTTGTTTCTGAGCCGATGGATGTGTCAGAGCATCTCCAGCCTGATTTATTCAAGCAACACCCTGAGAAATATCTCTATATAAACAGTTGTATGAGTGTATATTTTAACAGAAATTGTTCACAGTATGGGAGTTACAGGTGTGTTTTTGTGTAAGGCAGCATGGTCTGGGATCTTTCTGTGTGGAGTCTCCATGTTCTCCCCGTGCAGCGTGGGTTCTCTCCGAGTTCTCCGGCTTCCTCCCACAGTCCAGAAACATGCTGAGGTTAACTGGTGATTGTAAATTGTCCGTAGGTGTGAATGTGAGTGTGCTTGGTTGTCTGTCTCTAAGTGTAGCCCTGTGATAGACTGAAAAAACTACAGAAAATGTCGGCCATGTTTTTTTTCTTTTTCTGTGGACACATTGTTAATTAACAGAAAATAATTTGGGACACAGTGTGAGTAATGATCTGCCAGTACGTCTACTGTCTGTCTACTTGCTGTTTATTTATTTATTTATTTTATTGTTTATTGACAGGACAATGTACAACTACATTATGCTCAAGAGCAAGGATGCTTGTACCAGACTATAGCTGTCGAGCTAGTTTCCATCTGTAGTCCTGGGAAAGGGGCAGAGGTCACAGTGACATGTTTACAGTGCAGTCAGTGTTTCACACACATTCATTCATTCATTCGTCCAGAAGGAACATACATCACTCAACAGACAAAGTGCATCATCACAACAAGTCATAAAACAGGCATCACATATTTGTGTCATACACATGTCTCGGAGCCCTAAAATTACACTAAAAACATTTACTGATGTGAACATCTCTGGTTTGTGAGAAACCAATCTTTAACTTCTTTTGTGAAGCTTCTGACATTGTCTAAGCTCAGGATTGCTGGGGGTGCATTCCATTTCTTTGTACCTGGACAGGAGAAGGCAGAAATGACGTTTTGCATCCTGGAATGTTGCAGTGTCTCCTGGTAGCTGTTCTGGTCGTTTCTGCTGTCTGATATACAAAAGCTTTGCTGTTGCTAACTATACGTTTAAATTCAGATTTATTTACTGAAATGTTGCAGGACATGTGCAATCCTCGGTTTAAATATGCTGATAGTGTTGAAATCAAAGGCGGTGAAGGCAGTTTTTTTTTTGTTTTTTTTATCAACGAAGTGAAGCGATGCAGAGAATGATCTGTTTATGTGTGTGAGGGCTGGTTGTAGCTCCTCTTCGGCTATTCTACATCTTCAAAGCTGCACAAATCAGTGTTTTTATATCAATAACAGATGCAATGACTACGTGTAATGGAAAGGTGTTAGAATTATCACTGCTTTTTGCCTCTTTTGTATTATTTTTGTTACCCTACAAGCTCTAAAAGTTTGATTCTCAGCGGTGGCGTGCAACCTGTCCAGCACCAAACAACATGGTGGAGGTTTTAGCATTAAATTCCTGGACAGGTGAACCACACTGATGATGTGGGTGGGCTGTATCAGGCAGCAGGTGAACACTCTGATGCCTAAACTTTAGAGAAGTGGCTTCTCTCAGTAGGTTGATGCTCTCTGCCTCTGACAGGTGTGATCCATGAAGGTGTCGCCTCTCAGCTACTCAGACGTGGATGATCTGCTGTTAATGTCTTCATTGGACACCCTCTGAGGTCTTTTGTGGTCTTGATGGACCAGGAGACGTTTTGCAGCACAAATAGGACCTCCACAGTATCAGACAGGTGGTTTTAACATGGCGGCGGATTGCTTCCTCATGCCCTTCATGTATCTTAGTCTATCGTCATCCCGCTTTTACTCAGAATTAAATAACCTACATGGCATTAACGCAGTGTGAGCTTTACAGTGGAACACCTGATCCTGTGCTCAGGAAACACTCACCGACATTCCACAGCATCTCCACTGCGGTTAATGTCGGTTGCGGCTGCGTCTTTTCAGATCCTGCACTGACCTGGTGTTGGGTTTCATCAGGCACTCTCCATTAGCTCTGCTTTGGATTTCTTCCAGAAGCTCTTTTCTAAAGAACGTCCCTGAGGCCGGGCTCTGCCGCTCCTCTTCCTCCTCTTCGGATCACGTGTCCTCTTACGTCCAATGAGGTGCTCGTCTGATGGTCTCAGCGTCTTCTGGGCGGAACTCGATTGATTTTCCTCCAAACCTCTTGTGTTCTAATCACATCGTTCTGCTGAAAGGCATCAGACCGTCAGTTTCATCCAAATGAATCACCGTTTATACATCTTTAATCGTTTTTTGCTTTCTGAATGCTACAGACATGAACCGTCATAATGACTTCTACAGGAAGTATCTCAGAATGTTGGAAAGTGGTGGAAAAGTTTAGATCTTCTGATGACAGAAGCAGCTTGATGTTCTCCCCTGTTCACCCAGACTGTTTGATTTGTGTGCAAACATATTCAACACAAAGGGAACGCTTCATGTGATTATTTCTGTCAACTGATACAGGGGAAAACAGCTGAAATACAGTTCTTCTTCCTTTTTTTGGTACTTTTTTTAAACAGATTTTTGGTTTTCGATGCTCATTTCTTTGTGCTTTATATCGTAGCTGTGAATGTTGACTGTTCCCTGGTATGTTGTGTGTTTGCTGGACTAGCAGGTCTTGGATTTAACCCTCAGAAGCATTTCACTGACAGTGCATGTGTTATATCTGTGTGTTGCTTTAAACTTGAGCAGAACACGTTCATCAGTCACATGCACTAACTTCTGTCCTTCTATCTCATTCAGCTTCCTGCTGGTCTTCTCCTGCCTCATACTCTCAGTGTTTGCCACCATCAGAGAGTTCAAAAATAGCTCAGAGAGTGCCTTGTACATCCTGGTAGGTATCGTTTTACATGGTTCAACCATCAGCTGCACGTGTATTGATGTCACAGGATTAACTCCCAGGTTTTGGTGAACTCCACAGGAAATTGTGACCATCGTGGTGTTTGGAGTGGAGTACATTGTGAGGATATGGGCCGCCGGCTGCTGCTGTCGATACCGAGGATGGAGAGGGAGGCTCAAATTTGCCAGAAAGCCTTTCTGTGTCATCGGTGAGGAAACAGGGTCGAACTGTATTTTGTTTGCTGTCATTTCTGTCTCCTTGATTTCCCAGAACGTAACCCAGGAACACTGCTGTGTTTTGTCCATTTTCAAATGCTAGAACTTTTGAACAGCGACAGTAGAACCATCTTTGAAACTGAACTTTTAACCAGTTTGATCTGATTAATCAAGGACATGAAGAGTTCATTTGCAAAAACAGATAACTCCATCTTCACAAACCTTCAGAAAACCCACTTTTCCATCATCTACCTGAGACAACATCAATCAAACTTAAGTTATATTTGTAATTTCTACTGATTCAAATCCACTCAGCTTCAGTTTGATTGATATTATCTCAAGAAAACAACAAAAAACAAGTTTTCTGAAAATCTACAGGAAAGGAGTTATATCTGTTTTTGCAGATGAACTCTTCATAAATGATCTCGTGCTTCCCCGTGCTTCTATATTTTACTGTTTTGTTTCTCTCCTCAGACATCATGGTGCTGATTGCATCAGTGTCCGTGTTGGCAGCTGGATCTCAGGGCAACGTTTTTGCCACCTCGGCCATCAGAAGTCTGAGGTTCCTGCAGATTCTGCGCATGCTGCGTATGGATCGCCGTGGAGGGACCTGGAAGCTGCTCGGATCTGTAGTTTATGCCCACAGCAAGGTGATCCCAACGTCATTCAGTGTTGTCAGTAGGTCTCTCAGTGTTGTAGTCAGAGGTTGGGTAATTAAAACCAGGTCTGATTTCAAGTCAGTTCAGTTCAATTTTATTTGTATAGCGCAGCTCACAACATATGTCCTCTCACAGCGGTTAACATAGTCAGTTAAAGACCGTATGAATTTAAATTAAGAACCAACAATCTAAAGCAGCCTTTGGACTCCCTCTGAGCAAGCTGTCGGTGGGAAGGAACCACAAACTCCAAAAAATGCTTCCCTTTATACTTTATCTTCAAGATTTTTTGATGACCTTTGTCTGCATGAAGAACTGTTGAAGTGTTGGTGAAGCTAACCAGATGAAATATAAGGTGTTAATGACTCCTTAAGAATATCAGTACCTTAAACTCCCAACTAGTCAGTCAGACCTGATGAAGCCTCTTGGATGAGAGGTGGAACGTCTTCAAGGAACTCAAGCAAGTCCAGTTGCCATGATTAATCTACTAGAACCTGGATGACTGAGAGTCTTCCCAGACATAGGACAGGTTGTTAAACTGGTTATTTGCATCTTCACACGGGTTGAAGCATCAGAGCTTCAGCTAAACCTGCAGCAGCCTTTTGATTTCCCACCACGTTGGTTCAATGACACATTATTTCCTGCTGTGTCTCTTCTACGTAATCCAGTCACAGGAAACACGATTTCCCCTGTTTTATTTTAATGAGCTTAAAAACACTGTTATTTTCCTGCAGTAATGAGCTGCTCCTGTGCTTGTGTGCGATGATGTAAGACAGAGAGAAAAATAAACATGCTGATGGAATAGCTGGGTGAGCCCACAGGGACTCACACAATCACGTCAGGTGTTATTACAGCGTGGCCATTTTCCCTCGTTGCCACCTTTGGAAGACATTCTAGATGACTCTTTATTACTTTACGTTCCCTGATGGTGTCGTCTTTGGTGTCGTCTGCAGGAGCTCATCACAGCGTGGTACATCGGCTTCCTGTGCCTCATCTTGGCTTCGTTCCTGGTCTACTCCGTGGAAAAGGAGTCAAACATTGAGTTTGAGACCTACGCCGATGCTCTTTGGTGGGGACTGGTAAGACTATCTTCTAAATAACAACAAGGATTTAAATGTATATCTGAGCTGTTCAGCTGGTGACCACTGAGTTCATTCCCATCCCGGTTCAGGTGTGGCTTTACAGGACGATGACCAGACAATCTGAACCAAAACACAGACAGTCCACCTGAACTTGCAGCTATATTTAGACGACACAGTGCCACAGATGACAGTCGGTTAGTGTTTCAGTTAAAGATGTAGCACAATCCTCTCAGGTTGTAGGACAGACAATCAGCCGCATGATGTTCTGGATAACGATGTGTATGAAGGTGACATTAAGTGATCCATCTTCACCAGCCCTTTGGGAAGGTGAGACAACGTTCTACAAGCAGAGCCGATACCCTCATCACAGATGTGTGACTCTTTACTGACTTGTGGTCTCTGACTCGACTCTCCATCGGCCCGTTATCATTTCCGACATACTTTGGTGCTTCGTGACGTTCTGCTGTAGTGATGCCATGTACTCATATCACAGACAATAGAGTATAACATGCTGGATTTATATTTCTGTTGAGAACAACCTGTATCAGTGACGTTGTTTTATTCTGTCCATCAGATCACGCTCACCACCATCGGTTATGGTGACAAGGTTCCCAAAACTTGGAACGGACGCCTGCTGGCAGCTACTTTCAGTATGATCGGGGTGGCCTTCTTTGCACTTCCTGCTGTAAGTACGTGGGCTCGTCAGGAGTGCTTTCAGCCAAATGTCATTAGTGACTAAAAGTGCTGATCTATCAGATCCACATCTGTGTTTATTTGGTCTCTACCCATCAGGGTTCTGTGTCAGCGCTCATCAATGTGACGTCTCAAACCTCATTGAGAAACTGTACATGATTTTCATCTTTGGATTTACTTTCATGAATTTTGATGTTCTCTCTTCGGTGTCTGAATGTTTTAATGCTATCTAAACTATAGCATGTTGATGCTAATTTATATTTAGCATGTTAACAGGTAGGACTAGTATGGAAACATTTAAAGACTTAGGTGGTTAAACTTAATTTAATCATTTATGGTGATAAAACAGTGTCGTACATAACAGAAGACATTTCTGAATTCTCTCTACTTCTAACCAGAGCTGTCCTGTTTCTATAGAGGTGCAGGACTTTGTATTAAATATGTGACAGGAGCAGAAAATGTGCAGAAACTGAATCACCACCCATCTGTAATACTCCTCTCAGCTCGACACAACATTTTGTCACCTCACTGCTTTCATATTACAGCACAGAGATGTAGTATAATTCATGTCTATGCTCATATTAACCTTTTCTGTGATGTTATAGCGTTCTGTTTTCATCTGTTTTCATCTGTTTTCATCATCCAATCAGGTTAAGGTCCAAATACTGATATACAATCAGAGGGACAGTGAATATTGGACTTGGATTCACTGTATTACAAGAAACACAACACTAGCAGTGAATAAAAGAATGTTGTATTTAAACTAAGTTATTCACTAAATAAAGTGCAGGAATCATTTGTTTTTTTCCCCCATACTGGACATTTAAGTAATTCTCAGCAATAATATAGTTAATGTTCATATTTACACCCATGTATTCCTGAAATATGTGCTGTTGTATATATTGGAAAAGAACAGTTTTTACAATCCCACCCAGTCTGTCAGACTGTATGTGCCAGCTGTGGTTGTTCATCTGTAAAAGTGAGCCCAATGGTTCCTCTGAGTCAAAAAAGAAAACAAAAGAAAAAAGCTCACCAATTCAGTCACTGATGCTTTTGTCAGTTGCTGGTGAATGTTCGTTGTTTCACCTGAGGTTTGAAGGTGTTAGACTCAGCAGTAAGCTCTGAGTGAGCAGCTAACATTTGTTCAGCATATGGCAAAGAAACAGCGTGGACTGCTGTATCATCACTGGAAACACATCATTCAACTCTCAGCATTTCTCTCAAACGTCTGCTGGTGAACATCTGCAGCATAACCTCTTCACTAGATGGTTTTGTGAGATTGGTGCTGGACACTGTGGTGAAGGAGTTCAGCTGCTGTTGTTGTGATTCCTCCTCCTGGCCAGTTGGGGTCAACAAAGGTCACTCATCACTTTCTGGGCTTCCTATGTCTGTTTAGGGCATCCTGGGTTCTGGCTTTGCCCTCAAAGTCCAGGAGCAGCACAGACAGAAACATTTTGAGAAGAGACGTAACCCTGCTGCAGGCCTCATCCAGGTAACAACAACTCATACAACTCATACAACTCCATATATCTATTGAACAGATATAATCTCTGTTTGCGTTTCTGGTTAAAAACAAAAACAAAACCTAAAATGAGTTTTGTCTCTCCATCCAGGCTGCTTGGAGGTTTTACGCCACCAACCTTTCCCGTACAGATCTGCTGTGCACTTGGGATTTTTATGAGCAGACTGTAGCTGTTCCAATGTACAGGTAAGTGATTAAATCAGCTGAACAATGCTGCACATTATTCAGCAATTTCAGGAAATACAATTGTTTTCCCATATCACATTCTGCTACCTTCTTCAAAACTGGGAGTCAAAGTAGAAAACTGAACCCACTGCCTCTGTTGGATCAGATGTAGCCGTCTGTTGTGGAGGATCACACACTGGGGTGGCTTTTCATTTTCTCTTTTACAAAGGGTATTTTCCAATTCTTGAATCCTGACAGTTTTACTGCTGTATGAATCAGCACATCGACGGCTGTGTTTGACTTTCACACCACAGATTTGTCTGCCTTTTATGCATCTGGAAGTGAAAGATCACCAGTTGTCGTTTCCATTTGGAAATTACTTTATGTTCGACTTCGTTCCAGTCGTAATGCGAGGTGAAAAGGTTACAACCTGCAGAATGGATAATTGCCAGACCAGATGCAATTAGCTTTAAAGGGCCCGAGGGCAAGCTTGGTCCTTGTAAACGTGAGCTGGTGAAACTATCTTGACAGAACGACAACATTTTCTTTGTCTTTTTTCCAGACTAATTCCACCCCTGAACCAGCTCGACTTGCTGAGGAATCTGAAAGGCAAATCATTCAGGTATGAACATGACTTTATGAGTGACCACGCTGATGATGTAATAGCATGATCTCATGCTGGCTGCTAAAAAAAAGAAGCAATAATGATGAATGCTACTGATATTAAATAAAGGCATTATTATTTTTAACAATACTCAAACTTGACGCCCCCTTCTCTCCCAAAGAGGTTCTAGCTAGTCCTAAATCCAAATTACCAGTGCCAAAATAATAAGAATTAAAATATTAAATGAAGATTAAAAAAATAAAAAATAAAAACAAACTTTTTCGTCATTGAGGGTTTTTTTTAATTATTACTTTTAAATTGAAGCACAATATGTGTTTCTGTTCATCAAATATCCAGAAATAAGAGAAACATCATAGATTTCTGTCAGATAGGGTAACACACATTGTTGCTCCTGTCTGTCAAACAGATCCTTCCTGGTAATGCCAAGACTCCTCCTATTGTGTTCCTTTCTTCTGTGGGGTTCCCCAGGGCTCTATTTTGGGTCCTCTCTTGTTCGCTTTATGCGTGGGGCATATTAGGCATAGACGTTGATTTTCATTGCTACATTGGTGACATCCAATTCTATGTCCCAGGGAAGCCTGGTACCACCAGAATCTCTTTTATTATGTACCTAGCTAATGCACCCGGCAGCCTCGCTGATATTTTTGACTCTGAGTTGTCTTTTAATGATCAGCTTGCGAAAGAGGTTCAGTCTTGCTTTTCTCAACTTGTTCCTTCATCTATCCAGACTAGTGCAGTTTATCCCGATATTAGCAAGCAAAAAAACAAAAGACTGCAGTTAATTCAAAATGCTGCTGTCAGGATTTTAATTTTAAGGTCTTATAACATTTTCTAAAGCATTGAAAGGTCAGGATCCTGCTAATACCTGTGATCAAAGAGACACCAACAGAAACACTGCTGCACATCGTTGTGCATTTAGCGAGCCGAACACTAAATTAAACATTTGTGAAGTTTACCAGAGAGGTAAACATTTTGACTCTCTCAGCAAAAAGGTCTAACATTTTGAATAATTTAGCTTTAAAGCAGCTAGAACAAGTATATTCATAAGAATGAACTATTACTGTATGATGTGAAAGGTGTTGCTTGTAGTGCCGAACCCAAAGACAGTTATCAGCTGACTGCAGGTCCCCTCAGCTCTCCTGATGTTGAAGGCGTCGAACATACTTTTGGTTTTCGAGCCTACAGCTTTACCATTATAGTTCACTCTCACAGTACCATTTGTTTCCATTTGCTTGTGATGTGGCGCTCTGCTTCCCCTGGCGCCATCATCCTAATAACATCCTGCAGGGTGTGATGCATCAATATTTTCTCATTTTGTAGGGTGTGCTTGTCTGACATTAGAGAGGCAAATA